TCCTCTCAGTGGCTGCCATACAGAAACTTCTATGTACGTACTTTCTGACTAATTAAATGAAGAAACAAAGCCTAACTTACCTAGTTTAGCAGAGGAGCTGACAAAAGGGAAGAGAAATTTTTCATGCACTAGAGTTTTTTTAAGTAATGTTTGATGGTTTATAAGCCATACTAAATTTATTCACAGTTTTGCCTTGTTGGCCTTGATAGTAGAGAGGAAGGAAAAACTGGTTTGATGGTTTTGCTCCTCTACTTTTCTATCCTTCTGACAACAAATGCATTGGCTCTGGAAACAAGGAAGTGAAGGAATTCAGATATATAAAGGCTTATTGGTGCTGCAGAAATTGTGAGCTTAACCAGTGGTGGTGTCCCAATGAAAAGTAGGTAGAAAAAAAAAAGAGTGGACTGAGAGAAACAAAATTGTGCTAATAATCATTCAGAAAAGTGAAAGATGCACAGGTTTGGACAAGAATATTTTTCCAGTGTTTAAAACTTGTATTTATGCTGTGTTTATTTTTATTGAAAGTTAATTTAGTATGTACTTAGATTGAAAGGTGAATTTAAGAATGTCTTTATTAGCATTGATCAGTTTAACCCGAACAGATTTTAAAGAAAGAAACCACTGAGGCGCGAGTTACAGGAAAAAAAAGATTGTAAAGCCTGAAAATCATGAGAAACATGCAAAAATACAAAAGAAAATAGTAATATTGAGGCAAAGAAAAGGAGATAACAAAACCATGGAGAGAGTGTGAGTAAATATAACATAATATTAAAAAGTGTGAGGTTATATATGCTATCCTGCAAGTGGAAAGTGTATGAATTCTGTTTGTTTGAGGGTGCCTCATTCCAGAAACAAGGCTTTTGTGCTCACAGTGGAATGGCCAAGTTTTCCCTGTTTGGAGCTAGCTCGAAGCAAAGCATTTGAAAAAAATTCATTGCATGAAATGTAATGGGTGCCTGAAGCTCACGGGCTGAATTAGCACAAGCCTGGTTTTGCCTAATGGTTTGCACGTGCCTCATTTGTATTTTAGGATTGCAGTGTGTCCGTGTGCCCAGTGGCCCAGGGCAGCCTGGAAACAGGCAGTGGGTGTGCAGCTGGTCAGTGTGAGGAGCAGAGTGCCCCTCTCTGCTGTTCCTTCTGTGCGTGAAGAGAGGATGGTGGCCCTCCACACTCCATAGCTGCTGATTTCTGTCACCTCATTCATGATGAGACTTTGTCAGTGTCTGATTATTTACCCCTTTGCTGTTTGAACTTGTAAAATCTTAGCTCTGGTTTGCTGTCTGCTGAAGAGTGTGACACCAGAGCTTGCAGCAGCAGCCCCTCTCTGCTGCCTGTGTCAAACAGCGAGTGAATTGCTCCTCACTGCAGCAGTGAGGAGGTTTGCCTGCTTCACCAGCAAGGTTTGGTTTGTTGATGTCTTTGCTCTATTCCTGCTGTCTGCAGCACAAGAGAGGAAGTGGGGAGGAGTTTGCACACAGCCTCTGGCTCATGGATGGGAGAGGAGGGGGTGGCCACCAAGAGAAGGGAGGAATTACAAGGAGCTCCCAAATTAAGCTGGGTGTTGGGTGTCATGTGAAAAGCCGGGCCTAGAATGGACAATGAGCTCTGCAGGGAGTGGCAGTGGGATCCTGTAGGCTCCCATGTAGCAGGGCAGTGCCTAAGGTGCTTTCCAAGGGGAGTGTGGTTTCAAGACCAGCTGGAGCAAATTTGAGCTCCAACTGCTGTTGAAAGGGGAAGTCCTGCCTTCCAGCCCACCCTCTGCTGTGGGCAAGATGCCTTTCCCAGGCACATACCATGGAGAGAGCAGGAATGTTAAGTAGCAGGGTGGCCACTAATGAGCTTCAGCTAATTGCAAAACTTACTCAGAGATAGCAACAAAATCTGGTATTTATCTGGTTAGGTTACATGCTACTTTTGGCAGTATTTCTACAGGAGGTATCTCTGCTGGGGATTTTTCTTTCCTCTTGATGGCATGACACTTCTGTGTGCTGGTTTGCTGTTTTTCTTAGGCAGCAGCAAGGGAGGAAGATGGCATTTTAACTGAAGAGATTGTCAAATGTCTGCTGTTGTCTGGGTACTTTGAGATATATGTAGAACTGAGAATTATTCAGCTGTGCTGAAATTAAACCTCTAATGACTGGAACTGCTTACTTACTTAATTAGCTGGGGTTTGGGGTTTTTTATTCCAAAATATCTACTTCTTCCCCAAAATACTGTGACTTCCCTCCTTTTCATTTCTTTACAGAATTCATAATGATTTGTTCTAAGTGAATTGTTCAGGGTTTTTTTCAGTCTGTTAACAATGATTATTTCCCTGTTAAAAGCATCAGAAGTAATGTTTTCCTTAATGGAAAAGATGTTTGATCAAGTGACTGTACAAATGGAGGCAGCCACTGTATATAGGACGTGGCATTTGGAGGTTGCATGTGTTATGCCTGAAGTGCCAAGTGCTTGGCTGTGATTCAGATGAAATTGGCACTGGCTGATGCCAACACCCCAATGTAAATGTGGTGTCTTTCCCTATGCTGTAGGGCCCTGAAAGAAAAGTATTGAAGTGAATGAGTGCCAGAGGGGACGAGGTTAAGAGAGAAGTGGTGCATATGCTCCTTATTTAATCTCCTTCATAGCCACAGTCCCACATACTGACTGTACCAGTGGGTGTGTGTTCTTGTATCAAAGCAGATGTTTCTGTAAAAAACACGTTGCTTTGTTTTAATAAATTGAGGTTGTCACTTCAAAAGTGAGAGAGGGAGGTGAAGGAAGTAGCATAAAGTGAGAATTTGTCAATTGGGATTTGGAACAAAATCCATGAGGATTTTTGTGGTAAGAAGTGCAGGGAAGAATCCTTCATTGGTCTTGGCATTGCCCAAACATCTGCTTATGCACTGTTAAGATTTACATAAGAAGTTCTGCTTTTTCTGCTTTTAGATTGGTTTTGGGGTTTTTTTTTGTTTTCTTTTGTTTGCTTTAACCCAAAAATTTGTAAGTGTTTTGTCATTTGTCATCCTTTGCATTTCCTCAGGTATGATCCAGTCCGTGTGCTCAGCCTGTTGTGGGAAGGGGAGGGTGGTGTGATGGACCTCAGCAGTGTTTCAGATTGTGATTCAGTTCTTGAAGACAAGCTGTCCTGTTCTTCCCATGCCTTGCCAAGTGTGGTGGTGCTGCTGTTCAGCCTCTCCTGGCCCCCTAAATGCTGATACGCTCTCAAAAAGTACAGTCCTACTTTGAAGGTGGGAACTGCCTTTGCCTGCTGCTTTCAGAAGTGGTTGGTTGCCTTTGGGAGTGGTGCTGAGGAGGGATTGGAGGGCATGGTGAGCTCTCTTCAGGCCCTTCTTACATGGCTCCGTGACCTCCTGAAAAACAAGGGTTACAGGAACAGCCAAGGTGAATGGCCCCGTGGCTGTGAGCATTTTCTGTTAGACCTCAAGTATGATCCAAAGGTCTGTTCTGAAGCCTGCTTGCTCTAGACCCTTGGAAAGTATCTAGTCACAGGTTTTTTCCTCCATTTATTTAAAAACCTAGAGTCTCTGAAAACTCCAGTTCTGCATAAAAAGATTTGCTTCTCCTGAGACCAGTTGACTACTCCAAGCCCTTTCAAGAAGAAAAGTCTATGAGGCATATTTTATTTGAGGATTTGACAGTGTTTTCCCCATCTCCTTATCCTAGGTCTCTACTGCTAAGAAGAAACCTGGAACAGCAGGTTCCTGCTGACCTTTAAAATTATCTCAGTGGAAAGCCTGACACAGGGCTTGTTCCTGTGTGCTTCTGGGTGCCAGTGGGTGCCACCCCTGAAAAAGCCTCAGAAGAAAATTAAAGGGAGATTTGGGGGGAGGATGTGTTTGCATTTTTTCCTGCAGTGGTTTGAGCAGCTCAAGTGGGCGAGTGCCCTGCTCTCAGTGCTGGGTGCAGACCCTTACAGCAGAACAGCCCTGCTGCAGGCACTGCTGGGCTGGGGGCTGGAGCAGGGGATGCAGATGCTTGTCCCTGCCTGTGGAGCATCCTCTGCTCTGGAGGGCTGCCTGTGTACCTGGGGCTTGCCACCCTTGCAGTGAGCACCTGCTGCACTGGTGTTGCCAGCCTGGCACGGGGTGCTGTGGTTGGCAGTGCTGGGAATGCCCTGGGCACACAGCAGGGCAGTGGCAGGCTGTGCACTGAGAGTCCTGTAGAATCCTGCCTGTTGCTAAGGGACTCCTTTTGCATATGCAGCAACACTGGTTTATAGAGCAGCTTTCCCTGTGTTTGTTGATTGGAGGCAATTACTGTAAAATACTTGATTTATAACAAGGCATACTTAATAAGCAGCAAAGTAAAATAAATATTTATGAATTACCTGCTGGAGTCTGTTCTTTTTGCTGAGTCGTTGCTTTCTGTCTGTGTGCTCTGCATAGTCTGGAACCTCTGGGTCTCTGGAAGTGAAGGCAGCTCTGCTGGATCTTAGCTGGTGGAAGTTTTGGGCTGAAGAAGGAGGGGGACAATCCCACTTTTTCTCTATTTTATTCATCCCAGAGGATAGAGGTGTTTTCCTGAGATTTTTCCAAGCAGCTCATTTGACTCCAAGTGGTCTGCTTGCCTGGCATAGGGCTGTAATGCAGTAGTTGAAGTGTCATCAAAGTGTTTGTGTAAAACATGTGCACTGTGCAGCTACCACATCACTGGGGTCTGGTGTGGCTTTTGTGGTGCTGTTCGGAGGTGATGATGTAGAAATAACAGTGCTCTTGGTTAAGTTAGGATGAGCCAATATGTTTAAGAAAATATTTGGGAAATGACAAATTGCTCATTTGGGATCTATGCTCTTCAAGAATAGGACAACTCATTTAGAGTAGTTCCTCTACTCTAAATTAAAACAAGTTTGTGCTCAGTCTTCCCTAGACATGAAGCGCAGTCAGCAAAAGGATGAGTAACCTTTGTCTTCTGTCTTGCAGAGTGGCATTCCTCTGACCCCCACTACCATGACCACTTTATTTGGCCAGTTTGATTCACAGGAGTTTGTTTTTATATAGGAGGAGTCTGTGGCGCTTGTCAAAATGAGCAAGTGATCATCAGTGTGGCTTGGTATTCCTGCTGCTGGAGCCTTCAGGAGCCAGCACTCAGCCCTGCTGAAGCCAGAGGAGGAGGGCGGAGGAGCACAGCCTGATCAGGTACTGAGCCAGCAGTGGGAAGGGGTCTTTCATGCAGAGCTAAGTTATGGATGATCATTAGTCATAAAAAGTTACATTCTTTGGAAGGTCTTGTTAACATGTGTGGCTCAATGGAGGCCCAGTAAAGGCAGCCACATCCGTGGGCCTGGCAGGGGTGGGTGTTATGGGTGTCTGAGTTCTCTGACAGAGCTGAGGTGAACATAAACAAATGCAACACATTTTCAGGGGTATTTGATTTGCACATCTCATGTGCAGTACATGTTTGCAAATACCATTTTCAAGCTTCATGTAAGTTGTGAAGAATGGGCTAGGAATACTCTTCACAAATGTCTGGATGTTGAAGAGCAGTTTGATGTCTTGAGGAAAGGTTTTTCCTCAGCTTTATTTTTTGTTCTAGTTGGGAGACTTCAGTGCTAGCTTTTGATGAGCAGTATATTATGTAGGAACTGCAGAGCACAGAGGTAGCAGACTGATGGGTTTTAAGACACAACAAACTCTCAATTTTCTTGTTATGTTTTTATTTGCTGAGATGTCCATAACCATTCCTGGAAACTGGTATTTATTTATACATTGACATCTTTCAGATTGTCATACTTGAGAAGATTTAGTTAGGTTCATCTAGTGTGAAGACAGACAAGTTTGAGATTTTGATTTATTGTATTCAATTTGGGATTTTTGTCTTATGTAACTGTAGTTTATGTGGAACTCCTGCTCTGAGGACCATGTTTTGAAAAGACTTAGCATATTTTTGTGTACTATTAGAGATCCTTTGTGAACAGGGCTAGTACTTATGTGGGCTTTTGTACAATGCTTGGGATGGCAGTGGCATGCAATTCACTGTTGGAGGGAGCATTCTATGAAGAGGCACAATGTTTTTTCACCTCAAGTGATGCTTTCTCTCCAGAAATACCAGCCTCTGTAGCTTAGACTGTCTGAATTTATTAGTCAAATTTTTGCTATTTTTTTATTTATTGACCCAGGTAGAAGCAGTGAGGGTAGCTTAAAATCTGTTAAGAAAATTATTCCTAATGTTGTAGAGGTAGTTTTCAGCTCTGATTATATCTTTCCTGGTGTGGTTAAAAGATAGACTCTTTTTCTAGCGTCCATTGTGAATACTTCACGTCTTTTTTTTTTTTTTTTTTTTTTTTTTTTTGTCTTGGGAAATAAGAATCAGCATTTATTTGATTGAACAACCAGCTTCCTGCTTCCCAAGGAAGAGATAGTGGCTCATTTGCTTGCAAACATCCCTCCTGTGGAGAGTCTTTGTTGGGGAGTTAGAGGAAAGCTAGCAGTTCCTAGTGAAATAGCTGCATAGCAGGATGAAGAGGGATTATTGAAGCATTACTAGGAAATTCATGGCTGTGTGGAAGACCTTATGTACTCCACAGACGAGCTGACCTAAATTCTGCAGCCAGGCCTAACTGGTTTCTGTGTTGATGTGATGTGGCAGGCTGGATAACCTGCAGCAGATCTGGGGTTTAAAAAAAAAAAAGCAGAGGGGATACAGAGATTTATGTTTGAGTGGAAACACAGACAAGTCTTTAAGAGTGTACTGAATTGATCTTAAATCTTTTTTTGTTGTTTTTTCACCCACACTTCTCTATTCTTAGTATTGAGTATTTTTCACATAGCCAGGATGGGTCTGTATTATAAGGATGCTCATTAGGGAAAGTGGAGAGATGTTGTTTACTCCTGGATGAGGAATGTGTGGATGGATTTGCTCATAAGAGGCTTGGAGTTCTGAGATAGGTTTTAGTAAAGAAACTGCTGAGTATCTTATCAGTAGTGAAACAGTTAACACAACTGACACTTGAACTCTTCAGGAAAATAGGATTAGTATCCACTTGACATAAATGGAATGGCTTATGCTTGGGTTTCTAGGTGATGTTTGTTTCTCAAGATTGTACATTACACAAAACATGACACAAAAATCCAAATAGAAAACAAAATGCCAGGTCTGTCACAGTCAAGTTGGTCAGTCTGACCTGCGTGCAGTGTTTTTGTGCTGTTACTTCTTGTAGTAGTGATGTGACTTTGCAGTTTAGTTTCTGCTGGCACAGATGAGGTGTGAGGGCAGTTACTGCTTCCTGCCTTTTTCTGTACACATAAGCTAGACTGATGCAATGCTCTTCTTGGCTTTCACCCTTCCTGCTTGCTCACTTTGGTTACCTGTTCTCGCTGCTTCCTTCTCAGGTTCCTACTGGTATGAGAGGAATTTTTTTTGCTAGTACTGCTTATACCATGTTCTATGAAAGGAACTGTTTATGCAGGCAGAAAAATTTTGCAATCACTAGAAGGACTTTTGTGGTAAGATTTTTACTGGCATAGTTGGGAAGCAAGAAAAAAAAATATTGGCTGATACAGTTCAATGAACAAAATGTTAAAGTTTGGCTAGGGGCTTTGCTGTGCAAGTGTTCTGGTCTGGTTACTGTGATGGAGTGTGTGTGTATTTATAAAACATTTCTGTCTGGAAACCTTTTTGTCGTGGCATAAGCTTTAAGTCTTGAATTGTTTTAGAAGAATTTCTGCAACTGCAGCATCCTGAGGTGCCAGGGGAAATAGTGATATTCTGAAACATTGCTGGCTTATTTTAGCTCACATTTCACTTGATGTGCTTTTGATTTGTTTTAAGAACAACTTGTCTGTATAAGCTGTTTGTTTACTATACGCACATAATAAGCAGCAATGCTGACCTTCGACTGGAAACCAGAATGACTGCAGGTCCTGCTGCCCCACTGCCAGGAGCAGGTATGGAGAGGGGGTTGGAGAGCAAGGGCTGTTTCCTGTGCATGTGTTTCAATACCAGAAGCAGTAATTAGAAGGTTATTAACTGACAAATTAATTAAATTGATTGGAATTCCCTCCAAAATGAACTGGTTTTTGCTTGCATTAGTGTTATTGCCAAGGCTACCTCAAGGCAGAAGCAATGTTTTCCTTAGTACAGATATAGATGTCATTTTGAGTAATTCTTTGCAATGAAAATAACTTCTGTGTATCTCACTCCAATGTTACAATTTTCATGTTGGTTTATCTTTTCTTTCTTCTTGTCCTTCCAGCAGAATTTTCAGTGTTATCATTAGGGACAGAAACTGAAAAATAACTGGAAAATAGCTGGAGAACAGCCCCACTTTGATGTTTTTTTCACTGTTTTGCTCTCGTATTTCTTTGCCTAGACAGGAGACTTGTCCATTACTGCAAGATAGCAAAAGGCAGTCCTCACAGTGATGGGTCAGTGAGCTGAGCTGCTTCCAGCTTGTCCTTCTGGAGCCTGACCCAGCCTGGCTGCGGGCGGTGGCACCGACACAGCGCGGGGGAGGAAGGGGATGGCCTGGCAGGGCTTGTGGCCAGCTTGTATAGCAGGGAAAAGTCTGAGCAGGGTCAAAATGCAACGCTGCTCTCTCTCAGCCTTCCCTGGAGTCATGTCTTGTTGCATGGTTTTGTGTTCACAGACCTGTTTTGTACTGGACGTGTATCAAATTCAGTGGGCTGCAGTATTCTTAGCTGTGTGTTTTGACATATTATGATGTTGTTTTGAAATACCTACCTGCTCTCAGTTCTTGACTGGAATCTCAGGAGGTGCCTTTTGGATAGATGGAAGTGATTCTCAATATGTCGTTCCCTTAAGCTTTATCTGTTGTCTTTGGTAGGTGATGCTGTTTTGAAGGCAGCACCATCACAGTTCTTGTTCTCTCACAGGCTGAGTGAACACTGGAGCACTAAATTGGTGTAGTGAGGTGCAGCATCAAACAGTAAGGTCTGCCTGTCCTTGTCCATACCCAATTTGGTTTCAGGAGAGATGAAACACTCCCAGCAATTGAGAAATCACAGGAGAGATTGGACTGGGGAAAAGCTGACCTCTTCAACACCAGGTTTTCCTTGTCTAGATGGGCCCAACAAGACTCGTCGTGGTGTATTTGCAGATGATGGTAAAGAGGACTACCTTTAGATGTTGGTGACATTATTGCCTTGCATCTCAGATAGTAAAGATGGGGGAAGAGAGAGAGATTTGCAAGGAAAAAATAAACAATCAGCTCTTTGTTGCTCAATTATATTAGTGCTTCTGTGGTTTAGCTGTTATATTGTGTTACTCTGTCCACAGCTTTTTATGGGCCTCTTTTAGAAAAATTTAAAATTTACATAAATAATATGTTTCTCTAGTTCTATTTATTATTTCAAGTGCTAGAATATGCTTGCAATTAAAACATTCCACTGCCTTTGGTGATTGGATATATAAAATCTGGCCTTTGTTGCTGAGCAATGAGCTCTCAAACTTTCTGCTTATCTGACTGCATTTCATGAAGTGGGTTTTGCTCAGTGTATTACTGGAAACATGGAAAAGTCTTCTCTGCATAATTGGAATTGTTTTAATCAATAAAGCATCAATCTCTTTTCCATTCCATTAACTCTTACATTCTGCAGGAGCTGGGCAAAAAAAGTGATCTTTTTTCCCTGCTCATAAATTGAATCTACTACTTTTTGAGGTAAAATGTTTTTCCAGGCAGACTGCAAAACAATTTTCTTGGGGAGTTCAAGTAATTATTTAAGGAATATAGTAATTGTTGACATTACTGATATATGAAACATTGGGGGAGAAACAATTACATGAAAAGACATTTTTGAGAAAGGAAAACACCATACAGCCCCTTCCCCCTGGCCCTGCCATGTGCTGTTTTGAAGTTCTGTGCTAGTTAAGGGGAGCACTGCCCAGGTTTGGGTTTGGTTTGTTTTTTCCAATCTTTACTACGGAGGAAGCGTTGTAGTTTAAGGCTTTAGAGGCAGAGCTCAAATGCCACTCCACTATTTCCCCCAAAACCCCACCAGAGTGTTGCTTGTACCAGAGCTGCTCTCTGGTGTCCAGCTGTCCTGTTTGCAGCTGGATCTGGCAGTCCCACGTGCTTTGCTTTTTGGCAGGTGGTGTGTTTTGGTGACTTGCTGCCAGCCATGCCAGCAGGCTGAGATGCTGGTAGTGCTGCTGGAGGCTGGGAGCAGCAGACATTCCT